AGAAAATGAAGAAAAGAAAGAAAGAAATGAAGAAAGAAAAGAAAGAAAGAAAGAAATCTCTGGGTGGGTAAAAGAAAGAGGAAAAAGAAGGCAATGCATTAAATAACCAAAATGAGAGTAAGAGAAAATTGCTAAGAAAGAAAGAAAGAAAGAAAAAGAAATGAAGAAAGAAAAAAGAAAAAAGAAAGAAAGAAAGAAAGAAAGAAAGAAAAAGGGTAAAAGAAAGAAAAAAGAAAAAGAAATAACCAAAATGAGAGTAAGAGAAAATTGCTAAGAAAAAAGAAAGAAAAAGAAAGAAATGAAAAGAAAGAGGAAATGAAGAAAGAAAGAAAGAAAAAAGAAAGAAAAAAGAAAGAAAGAAAGAAAGAAATTGCTAAGGGTAAAAAAAGAGGAAAAGAAAGAAAGAAAAAAAAAAATGAAAGTAAGAGAAAAGAAAGAAAAGAAAGAAAAAGAAAGAAAAGAAAAGAAAAAGAAAGAAAGAAAGAAAGAAAGAAAAGAAAAAAAGAAAGAAAAAGAAATTTATGGGTAAAAAGAAAGAGGAAAAGAAGGCAAATGCATTAAATAACCAAAATGAGAGTAAGAGAAAAGAGCTAAGAAAGAAAGAAAGAAAGAAAAATGAAGAAAGAAAGAAAGAAATGAAGAAAGAAAGAAAGAAAAAGAAAGAAAGAAAGAAAAAGAAAGAAATGAAAAAGAAAGAAAAAAAAGAAAAAGGGGTAAAAAAGAAAGAGGAAAAGAAGGCAATGCATTAAAAAGAATGAGAGTAAGAGAAAATTGAAGAAAGAAAGAAAGAAAGAAATGAAGAAAGAAAGAAAGAAAAAGAAAGAAAGAAAGAAAAGAAAGAAAAAGAAAGAAAAAGAAAGAAAGGAAGAAAGAAAGGAAAAAGAAAGAGGAAAGAAAAAGAAAATGCATTAAATAACCAAAAATGAGAAAGAGAAAATTGAAGAGAAAAAGAAAAGAAAGAAAGAAAGAAATGAAAAAGAAAGAAAGAAAAATGAAAAAGAAAGAAAAGAAAAAAAAAGAAATCTCTATGGGTAAAAGAAAGAGGAAAAGAAGGCAATGCATTAAATAACCAAAATGAGAGTAAGAGAAAATTGCTAAGAAAGAAAGAAAGAAAGAAAGAAATGAAGAAAGAAAGAAAGAAAGAAAGAAAGAAAGAAAGAAAGAAATGAAGAAAGAAAGAAAGAAAGAAAGAAATTTATGGGTAAAAGAAAGAGGAAAAGAAGGCAATGCATTAAATAACCAAAAAGGAGAGTAAGAGAAAATTGCTAAGAAAGGAAGAAAGAAAGAAAGAAAGAAATGAAGAAAGAAAAAAAGAAAGAAATGAAGAAAGAAAAGAAAGAAAAAAGAAATTCTAAAGAAAGAGGAAAAGAAGGCAATGCATTAAATAAAGAAAATGAGAGTAAGAGAAAATTGCTAAGAAAAAGAAAGAAAGAAAGAAAGAAATGAAGAAAGAAAGAAAGAAATGAGGAAAAAGAAAGAAAGAAAAAAAGAAAGAAAAAGAAAGAAAGAAAGAAAAAAAGAAAGAAATCTCTATGGGTAAAAGAAAAAGAGGAAAAGAAGGCAAATGCAAAGAAATAACCAAAATGAGAGAAAGAGAAAATTGAAAAAAAAAAGAAAGAAAAAAGAAAGAAAGAAAGAGGAAAAGAAAGAAAGAAAGAAATGAAGAAAAATGAAAAAGAAAGAAAGAAAAAGAAAGAGAAAGAAAAGAAAGAAAGAAAAAGAAAGAAAGAAAGAAATTTATGGGTAAAAAAGAAAGAGGAAAAGAAGGCAATGCATTAAATAACCAAAAATGAGAGTAAGAGAAAAATTGCTAAGAAAGAAAAGAAAGAAAGAAAAAAGAAGAAAGAAAGAAAGAAATGAAGAAAGAAAGAAAGATAGAAAGAAAGAAAAAAGGAAAAGTAAAAGAAAGAGGAAAAAGAAGGCAAATGCATTAAATAACCAAAATGAGAGAAAGAGAAAATTGCAAGAAAGAAAGAAAGAAAGAAAGAAAAGAAGAAAGAAAAGAAAGAAAGAAATGAAGAAAGAAAGAAAGAAAAGAAAAGAAAGAAAAAAGAAAGAAAGAAAAAAAAGAAAGAAAGAAATCTTATGGGTAAAAAAGAGGAAAAAGAAGGCAATGCATTAAATAACCAAAAAGAAAGAGAGTAAGAAAAGAAAAAAAGAAAAAAAAAAAAGAAAGAAATGAAGAAAAGAAAGAAAGAAAGAAAAGAAAGAAAGAAATGAAAGAAAAGAAAGAAAGAAAGAAAGAAAGAAATGGGTAAAAGAAAGAGGAAAAAAGAAGGCAATGCATTAAATAACCAAAATGAGAGTAAGAGAAAATTGCTAAGAAAGAAAAAAAAGAAAGAAAGAAAAAAAGAAAGAAAAAGAAAGAAATGAAGAAAGAAAGAAAGAAAGAAAGAAAGAAATCTCTATGGGTAAAAGAAAGAGGAAAAGAAGGCAATGCATTAAATAACCAAAATGAGAGTAAGAGAAAATTGCTAAGAAAGAAAGAAAGAAAGAAAGAAATGAAGAAAGAAAGAAAAGAAAGAAATGAAGAAAGAAAGAAAGAAAAAAAGAAAGAAAATCTCTAAAAAGAAAGAAAGAGGAAAAGAAGGCAATGCATTAAATAAACCAAAATGAGAGTAAGAGAAAATTGCTAAGAAAGAAAGAAAGAAAGAAAGAAAGAAAAAGAAGAAAGAAAGAAAGAAAAGGAAGAAAGAAAGAAAGAAAAGAAAGAAATCTCTATGGGTAAAAGAAAAAGAGGAAAAGAAGGCAATGCAAAGAATAACCAAAATGAGAGTAAGAGAAAATTGAAAGAAAGAAAGAAAGAAAAAGAAAGAAAGAAATGAAGAAAGAAAAGAAAGAAAGAAAGAAAGAAAGAAAGAAAGAAAGAAAAGAAATCTCTATGGGTAAAAAAGAAAGAGGAAAAGAAGGCAATGCATTAAATAACCAAAAAAGAGAGTAAGAGAAAATTGCTAAGAAAGAAAGAAAGAAAAGAAAGAAAAGGAAGAAAGAAAGAAAGAAATGAAAAAGAAAGAAAGAAAAAAAAGAAAGAAAGAAAAGAAAGAAAGAAATTCTATGGGTAAAAGAAAGAGGAAAAGAAGGCAATGCATTAAATAACCAAAATGAGAGTAAGAGAAAATTGCTAAGAAAGAAAGAAAGAAAGAAAGAAATGAAGAAAGAAAGAAAGAAAGAAATGAAGAAAGAAAGAAAGAAAGAAAGAAAGAAATCTCTATGGGTAAAAGAAAGAGGAAAAGAAGGCAATGCATTAAATAACCAAAATGAGAGTAAGAGAAAATTGCTAAGAAAGAAAGAAAGAAAGAAAGAAAGAAATGAAGAAAGAAAGAAAGAAATGAAGAAAGAAAGAAAGAAAGAAAGAAAGAAAGAAAGAAATCTCTATGGGTAAAAGAAAGAGGAAAAGAAGGCAATGCATTAAATAACCAAAATGAGAGTAAGAGAAAATTGCTAAGAAAGAAAGAAAGAAAGAAATGAAGAAAGAAAGAAAGAAAGAAAGAAAGAAAGAAAAAAAGAAAGAAAGAAATCTCTATGGGTAAAAGAAAGAGGGAAGGAAGGCAATGTATCACTTAGCAAAAAGAGAGTAGGAGAAAAATGCTAAGAAAGAAAGGAGGAAAGAAAGAAATTAAGGAAGAAAGAATGAAAGATGAAGAGAAAGAAGGAAAGAAAGGAAGAAAGAAAGCTGTAAGAAAGAATAAAAGAATGCAATGAATTAAGTAACCAAAAACAGAATAGGAGAAAATAGCTAAGAAATAAAGAAAGGAAGAAATGAAGTGAGAAAGAAAGAAAGAATAAGATGTAAGAGTAAAAGAAGAGGAAAAGCTTCCAATGCATCAAATAACCAAAATGAAAGTAATAGAATATTGTTAAGAAAGAAAAAAGATAGAAAGAAAGAAAGAAAGAAAGAAATATGGAAAGAAAGACGGAACGAAAAACCTATAACTGTATAAAAAAGAGTAAGGGAGGCAATACATGAAGTAATCAAAAATTTAGTAAGAGGAGATTGCTAAGAAAGAAAGAAAGAAAGAGGAAAAGATGGCAATGCATCAAATAACAGAGAAAGCGGTAAGGGTGCAAGAAAGAAGGAAAGGAAACAATGCATCAGATAAGCCAAAATGAGAGTAAGAGAAAAGAAAGAAAGAAAGATATAAGAAAGAAAGAAAGAAAGAAAGAAAGAAAGAAAGAAAGAAAGAAAGAATAACTAAAATGAAAACAAAGAAAAGTAAAATAAAAAAGAAAAAAAGAAAGAAAAAAGAAAGAAATGAAAAAAGAAAGAAAGAAAGAGAAAAAAGGGTACAAGAAGAAAGAAAGAAATCAGATAAGCCAAAATGAGAGTAGGAGAAAGAAAGAAAAGAAAGAAAGAAAGAAAAGAAGACAGACAGGAAGAAAGAAAGAAAGAAAGAAAGAAAAAAAGAAAAGAAAGAAAGAAAGAAAAGAAAAAGAAATGAAAGAACAGAAACAGAGAAAATGAGGGTACAAGAAAGAAGGAAAGAAAGAAATGAAAGATAAACCAAAATGAGAGTAGGAGAAAAGAAAGAAAGAAAGAAAGAAACAGAAAAGAAAGAAAGAAAGAAAGAAAGAAAGAAAGAAAGAAAGAAAGAAAGAAAGAGAAAAATCTGTAAGGGTACAAGAAGGAAAGAAAGCAATGCATCAGATAAGCCAAAATGAGAGTAGGAGAAAAGAAAGAAAGAAAGAAAGAAAGAAAGACAGACAGGAAGAAAGAAAGAAAGAAAGAAAGAAAGAAAGAAAGAAAGAAAGAAAGAAACAGAGAAATCTGTAAGGGTACAAGAAAGAAGGAAAGAAAGCAATGCATCAGATAAGCCAAAATGAGAGTAGGAGAAAAGAAAGAAAGAAAGAAAGAAAGACAGACAGAAAGAAAGAAAGAAAGAAAGAAAGAAAGAAAGAAAGAAAGAAAGAAAGAAAAAAAGAAAGAAGAGGAAAAGATGGCAATGCATCAAGTAACAGAGAAAGCTGTAAGGGTACAAGAAAGAAGGAAAGGAAACAATGCATCAGATAAGCCAAAATGAGAGTAAAAGAAAAGAAAGAAAGAAAGAAAGATATAAGAAAGAAAAGAAAGAAAGAAAGAAAGAAAGAAAGAAAGAAAGAATAACTAAAATGCGAATAACAATATTAAAAAGTATGGAAATAAAAACGGAGAAAGAAAGAAAGAAAGAAAGAAAGAAAGAAAGAAAGAAAGAAAGAAAGAAAGAAAGAAACAGAGAAATCTGTAAGGGTACAAGAAAGAAGGAAAGAAAGCAATGCATCAGATAAGCCAAAATGAGAGTAGGAGAAAAGAAAGAAAGAAAGACAGACAGACAGGAAGAAAGAAAGAAAGAAAGGCAGACAGGAAGAAAGAAAGAAAGAAAGAAAGAAAGAAAGAAAGAAAGAAAGAAAGAAAGGCAGACAGGAAGAAAGAAAGAAAGAAAGCAACAGGGGAAGCTGTAGGGGTACAAGAAAGAAGAAAAGAAGTAGATGCATGAAATAACCAAAAAGAGAATATTAGAAAATTGCTAAAATAAATAAATAAATAAATAAATAAAAAGAGAAGGAAGGAAGGAAGGAAGAAAGAAAGAAAGGGAAGAAAGAAGGAAATAAAGAAAGAAAGTAATATGTAAGGGTACAAGAAAGAAGAAAAGAATGCAATGTATCGAGTAACCAATAAAGAGGGTAGGGGAAAATTGCTAAGAAAGAAAGAATAAAAGATAGAAAGGGAGGAAGGAAGGGAAAAAGAAGGGAAGAAAGATGGAAAGAAAGGAGGATATATAGAAAGATTGAAGTAAAGAATAATATCTGTAATAGTCCAGGGTTGAAGAAAAGATGGCAATGCATCAAATAACCAAAAAGAGAGTAAGAGACAATTGATAAGAAAGAAAACAAGAAAGAAAGAAAGAAAGAAAGAAAGAAAGAAAGAAAGAAAGGAAAGAAAGAAAGAAATCTGTAAGGGTACAATAATGAGAAAATGAAGGCAATGCATCAAATAACCAAAAAGAGAGTAGACCATTGATAAGAAGGAAAGAAAGTGTGGAAAGAAGAAAAAAGAAAGAAGGAAAGAAGAAAAAAGAAAGAAGGAAAGAAAGAAAGAAATCTGTAAAGGTACAAGAAAGTGGAAATAATCTGGGACGCCTCCATGTAGTGTAACGGCAAGATTATCTCGCTAGAACAATTACGATTGAAGAGTGAGTTCGATCCTAACTGGGTGCCCCATACATTCGGCCTTGTGCCACATCTAAACTATGCTTAGAAAATTAAATCACCATTATCATTAGCTAGGAATTGGTAGATAGTGTTGACCAATCTTCCCCCTACTCCCTTCAGCCCTGTGCTACATACAAATGTACTCATTTGTAAAATCAATATCAAGAAATTTATTTGAATACTAATATAGCATCCCAGATTTAGCCACCCCGGGAATATACCCAGCTATAATTTAGCCTTAGAAAAAACAAAAAAAAAAAAAAACACCCAATGCATGATTGGGGTTACCCTACTTCATACCATGATGTATAAAACAGCCTATTCAAAACGATACCCATACAGACAAATTTATACCCATTTTTATTACGAGTCTCAGCAATGTTATGTGATGGTTCCAGTCAACAAGCCGGCAATAATGGCTGATATCAACTCAGTTGACAATAATCAGGCAGCCATGTTTCTAAAAAGAAATTAATCTTTGACTATTTACATTATTCGGACTGTTGTCTTCAACTTCATTCGCATATTCATAATGAGGAGGAAAACAGTCCGTCCTAACAATGTATATATTGTAAATAGTTACAGTACCTCATCTCAGAAATATAGACAGAAAGTAATCTTGTTCAATTCATATCCTAGCCACAGCAATGTGCACACCAAATTCCCAGCGAGTCAACATTAAATTGTAATTTCTACACTGCAAACACAAAACCATTGTTGGCCTCTCACTGCTCGCTATTTCTATGGCAAATGTTCATACGAGCTCGTAGATAGATAGACATGACAAATCGAGATAGATAGATAGATAGGGATGATAAACAGAGATAGATAGATATAAAGATATGACAGACCGAGATAGATAGATAGATAGATAGATAGATAGATATGATAAACAGAAATAGGTAGATAGATAAATAGATATGATAAACAGTGATAGATAGATAGCTATATGGCCTTGAGGTCAAATCAGTCGGGTTCCGATCCCGGCTTGAAGCAATCGGGCGTCTAGCTACACTGAGGAGCTGTGATACAGAGAAACAGTCGGTTTTGTGGATGACTACATACATACATATATATATATATATATATATATATATATATATATATATATATATAGGAATATGAAATGAAATAATAATAAAAAATACGAAAGAATATTAATCTACAAACCCAGTGTGTCTAAAGATTTTAATTTTTAATATTTTTTATTGTTCAGAATATATATATATATATATATATATATATAGAGAGAGAGAGAGAGAGAGAAAGAGAGAGAGGAGAGAGAGAGAGGGAGAGATAAATATGACAAATCGAGATAGATATGGCAAATTGTGATAGATAGACAACTCGTCAATCCTTTGGACCAAAATTAATAGGCATTTATCTACTTATATGCAAACCAAAAAATCAGAATAAAATTGAAGCCTGGTGAATGCACAAAAGAGATCCCTACGAACGCTTGCCGCTATATGATCATCTGTGGATAGCATAATATACTTCTTATTACATAGGAAAAAGACGGGGGTAAGCAATGCTGGCATATTGCAGCCCAGTTCATTTAATATTTGAGTATATAAACTGGCCTAGCCTAATCATACCCAGGAAGTGGTTTACTCTATGATGTTATATCGGGTATACGTGGCCGAGTAGTCAGAGCGTTCGCTTTCCGATCATGAGACCCGGGTTCGAATCACACCATTTGTCAGGAAGGTCACTTCATGATGTTATTGTCCTGGAGTCGATCTCACCTTTGGAAAAGTGCCTGAAAAACACTACCACGAGTTTACCTAGGCCTTGTGAGTGAAATTGGGTAGACAAGACTAAATGACGTCAATGGTTGTGCTAGAATGAAGTCACAAGTCACCGTGACCGAAGATTTTGAGGGTTAATTCAAACTAGATCACGTCAGGAAATGCGCTCTCTCCCAGAAACTGTAACCAAGGTCTGTTCAGCATAGTTGCAGTATAAACGACAGGTGTGCTCTGTGGGTGTTGAACAAACACAAATGTGCCTGAGCAGGCGTTTGCAACAGGGATTGGCTAGCCGACGTATGCAGAAAAGCATACTCGGTTACGACCGGCAAGTCATTTGTTACATTACGTCGTCAGACAATTATCCGAAAGTCAGTGCCCGTAGGCGGACAGATAAAAATGACTGGTGAAACTAGTTCTGTCTTTTTGCATAGAATCTGTTGGATTACATAAACACAGCCTGATTTAAAAATTATAACAAAAGAACATTGCATCAGGAATCTTGTCTTCCAGATAGTAATTCTGCATCGCCGTTGGACTGGAACGTCAGGGCCAGCGGTATACCTAGCGTTTGTATCGTCCGAAGCGGCAGTAGAATTTGTTGCCATCTAAAAGACATTCGAAAACGGATATCATTTAGATACACGCTGGGGCGATCATGTCTCTTTCGAATCATGACTGACCAGGAAGAAGATTCCCCATTATGTTGCCGTTTCTTTCTGCGGTAGACTGGTTGTTAACCAAGGCTATAGGACCCAATCTGTGTTGCTATTCAACCAATAGATTTGGGGAGAAGAAATGGTTTCATACCTTTCGCAAGGGTATTTACGCTTAACTGAATGTAACGAATTCGACTGGGATTCGAACTCGGCTCTCTGATTTCTCATTCAGAACCGTTATCCATTAAACCACCTTAGCTTACAGAACCCGGTATTTATAAGTCATCACCTATCTAGGTACTGACCAGGCACAACGTTGCTTAACTTCGGTGATCGAAACGAGTACCGGTTTTTGAACGTTATATGGTCATAAGCAGAGTAATAAAGTCAGTCAGTTGCGTGCCATACGGGATACACGCTTGGACGATCATGTCTCTTTCGATACATGACTGACAAGGTACAGGTTTTCCCGCAGAAGGTTGCAGTAGAGTGGTTGCCAGCCGAGGATATAGACCCAGTCTGTCCAGTTATTCAGCCCATAGCGAGACGACATTAAACCACCTTAGCTTACAGAACCCGGTATTCACAAGCTATCACCCATCTCGGTACTGACCAGGCTCAACGTTGCTTAACTTCGGTGATCGGAACGATTAGAGGTGTTTGAACCTGATATGGTCATAAACAGAGTCTTATAATCAGTCAGTTGCGTGCCATACGTGATACACGCTTGGACAATCATGTTTCTTTTGATTCGTGACTGACTAGGCAGAAGATTTCCCCACATTAGGTTGCCGCTTCTTTCTGCGGTAGACTGGTTGCCAACCAAAGATATTGGACACAGTATGTCCTGTTATTTAACCCATAGCTGTGGGGAGAAGAGATTGATTTATACCTTTCCCAGGGTTATTTCCGCGTAAGTAAATGTAACGAACCCGATTGGAATTCGAACTCGTCTCATCGAAAAACTGTATAGTATCTAAAAATATAAAGAAAGATTACAATTTAGGTCATATACATTTCAGACAAAAACAAAAACAGAAACAGCAATCACAAACAAAATAAGATAGATTTGGTTTTGGTTTGTTTAGTGGCAGATAAAGTACTTATATGGGACACTTCAAGGTTGTGTAATCGTTAGCGACCTTGATTTGCTAGATCAGCTACGACTGAGTAGTGAGTTCGATCTTCACTCGGTGCTCCACACATTCGGCCTTGTGCGATATCTAAGCTGCGCTTAGAAAATAATTTTATTGGGCACCTCGAGGCGGTGTACTGGTTGGCAAGCTTGTCTAGCTAAAATAATTACGATTGAGTAGGGAGTTCGATCCTCACTGGGTACCCCTCTACTTTCGGCTTTGTGCCACATCTAAGCTACGCTTTACAAATCATTAAGGGCAGCTCCAGGCGGTGTAATGGTTAGCAAGCTTATCTTGCTAGAAATATTAAGACTGAGTAGTGAGTTCGATCCTCACTGGGTTTGTACCACATCTAAGCTACGCTTGGAAAATCACTGTGAAGTCTTTATGGGTCATTTTACGCCGAAATGTAATTTTCTTTTGAGCTTTGGTAATTTTTTTTTCAAAAATATTTTTCTGGTAATTTTTCTCTTCCTTTTGTAATAATGTATTGCTGGTAAAGTTTTTATTATGAAAATGTATCGCCGGTATTCTTACTACAAAAAAAAAATGTATTCTTATACTTTCATAATGATTTGAACCCAATTTAGGAAGGGAGGGTTAACTATTTGCCCATATCTGGGACCCTAACAGGTGCTACCACCCCGAGTTAAGATGGACCTGGGAACAACAGCAATTAAAAGGTGGTTCGATTCTCCTCAAAACCTCCCGATCAGAGGCCTAGCTACCGGATGTAGTTTATCATCATACCCAGGAAGAAAATAAGATAGAAAGAAATTCAAAAATTAGTAAAATAAATCTGTTTGAATAAAATGTTACTACACTAACAAAATGGTCAGTACATTTCCAGATGCATGTATTCACCATAGAAATCCCGTTAGATAATTTTATTTATGATTTGAGAAATGTCTGTCTTAACGTGGTTTTGTCTAGATTTACGTGCAGATGCTTTGAATATAGCTACCACATGTGGTCCGGTTCTCCTGCTGTATATATATAGAGATTCTTGTTAAAATTCAAAGAAGAATCTGCAATGTCATTAGTTCTGACCTGGCACCTTGGTTTTAGTCATTTTCCCTCCGCCTTTACTATAAATACTTTCATGGTAATTGTTCGGATGAACTGTACCTACACTTAAGGTCTCAACAATTTATACTTGAATTGGCTAAATGAAGCCATAAGTTCTATGCTAACAGTTTCTTATATCGCACTTCTTGCTTGTGGAACTCTGTTCTGGCTCCATACTTTCCAGGCAACTTTCCTCTTCAAAAATTCAAATGCAATGTCAATCGTTATCTACTGTCTTCTTGGTTATTCTTCTACTGTTCTCGTTCCTTAATAATGTTTCTCTTTTTTCTTATTCATTCACACTTATTAACCCCTTTGTGTCTTAGTGGCTTTACTACCTTGGTTGGGGTGATATGATTAAAAAAAAAGAAGATTTGTCTAAAAAACAAGATGTCTATTGACTTGAATGTGAACCGTATATGTTTTAACTGATTTGTGAAAGAACCTACATTTGTTTTTATGAAAAAAAAAACGAAAAAAAAAACGTAGCGTTACTGCTGAAATTCCTGAGGAAGGTGGTCTTGTTAAATTTAACCCTCACGGGGCATAGTGGGGGATAGGGAAAGTTAGCGGGCCACCTACCTGACGACGTTGTGTAACTGGATGGCGGGACGGGAGCCTTAGAAAAGAGAGAGAGAAAAAACAGTATCATTTAAGATAAGAATTTGTGGAGAGTCATGATCACCTTTGTCCTGAAGGGAACACAGCCCATAGAAGAAGAAGAAGAAGAAGAAGAAGAAGAAGAAGAAGAGGAAGAGGAGGAGGAGGAGGAAGAAGGAGAAGAAGAAGAAGAAGGAGTTGAGTGAGTCATTGACTATGAGAATGTAAAAGAGATAATAAAAGCCTATTGGCTATTATTGTCTAATCTTTTTTTCCATTGAGCCTTAGTCTGTGACATTTTAGTTGACCTTTCTATTTGAAGCAAAAATTGGTGAACCTAAAGAAATATTCTGTTATAAAATTTACCCCTTCCCTTTTCCCTGTTTGTTGTTTATCGAATTTTGCGAATCATGATTGAAAAAAAATGTTTTTCTCAGATTATATTAAACCATGCACTTCAGACAATAACCTCTATTTAGACAAAGCCTGATTATGGATAAACCTTTTCAATCTTTTACAATAATACTAGTTGGGGTCGTGGAAATTCTACTGAGGATACTTGCTCTTCGGAAACAGAGTCCAAAGTTATTTATCTATTTTGATAGTAATTATTGGTATAATTCATTGTTTATTCTTTTCGAAGCCTAGACTGATTTGGTCGCATAAAAATATCACAAGTTCGTCAACTAACAACGAGTGAAATCGTCTGAATACCTAACAATATTTAGACGACATATCGTCTGATATCGTCTTTCACAAAAGTTGTCTTTTATTAAATTTTAATTTGAGTATTTTGTCTTCGTAACGCTGGTATCATTTTGATATCCCCCCACCTGGTAAGCGGTATGTGTCGGTAAGAAAATAACAGTGTTTCATCTAAGGAATCCGGAAAACGACATCGGATCGATGTAAACAAACAAGATGACGCAGAGAGAATCACATACGGAAGAGTATAGCTGCAAGATTAAATTTAAAGTACATATGCAAAGTGGTTTTCGTAGCCTAATCGGAAAAAACGCTGTCCATGTCAGATTTTTTTCCCGATGGAATGCAAATTCAGATCTCATTGAAAGCTAACTTATTATTTTCTGTTTCTACTTTCCTGAAGGCTTCTTCCGCTTAAGTTTTTTGGTTATGTTATTCTCATCTTTCTGTTTCCTCCAGTTTTTTTCTTCATCTGTGAAGAAATTGTTCAGCATTCACGGCCATACAAGAGGACTTCAAAAGTGGAGCAATATTATTTATTTTAGGATATTACATCAACAACATGTCAAAATCGCTACACAATTGCAGTGTTTCGATGCATATCAATGCATCTCATCAATTTACAATCGCCTGATGAGATGCATTGATACGCATCGAAATACGACTGCAATTGTGTAGCGATTTTGACATTTTTTCGATGTAATATCCTAATATATATATATATATATATATATATATATATATATATTATATATATATTTTTTATGTTTATACGTTCTTTTTTATAGATACAAATATTTAAGTAAATGCTCTGTTTATAATGTCGTTAATACTGTTTATTATAAATAGAACATTTACTTAAATATTTGTATCTATAAAAAAGAACGTATAAACATAAAAATGTCTTAAAATATACATATATATATGTGTGTGTGTCTATATATATATATATATGTATCTGTGTGTATATATGTATATATATATATGTATATATTTATATATATATATATATATATGTATATGCGTGTGTGTGAGTGTGAGTGTATATATATATATATATATATATATATAGTATTGGGACAGAAGATTTTTATTAAAACACATATTGTTAAATATGACAGACAACGAAAGTCTATTATGTTTGATCATGAGCCGTTCTAAGCTTCGTACACTGGTTTTAGTTTCTCTCACATGGTCATGTACGACATCATAGAACCGCATTACGAATTTACGACCTGCGACTGTTATTCCGCGAACGTTATGGTCGCATAGTAAAATTCTATGTAAACATAACAGGATGTCATCTTTGGTGTTGAACATCTCCGTTGTAATGCCCATATAACCACTCTGATGATGGATAAAAAATATCTAAATGTTGGACAGTTTTTTCTCTTTTTTTTCTCCCGAGACTAAAGCCACGATATTAGAACGGCTCATAATGAAACATCATAGTCTGTTATATTTACCAGTGTGTGTGTGTATATATATATATATATATATATATATATATATATATATATATATATATTCACATCCACAGACTGATTGTTTCGCTGCATCACAGCTCATCAGTGTGGCTAGACGTCCAGTTGCCTAGCTAGAGGCAACCGGACGTTAAATGGATAGCCGAGTTCTAATTCCAGTTGGGTTTGTTATATTCATTTATGAGCAAATATCCTTGGGAATGTTATGAATCTATCCCTTCTCCCATCTATGGGTTAATTAGTGAGGCTTATATCGCTAAATCATTATTATCTAAAAAAATCTTACAATCTAAAAATATTTTCTGGCTTTGAATAGCATGCAGTTGGTTGATAAGTCTTAAAAAAAGAATCAATCAATATTGGAAGGAAGAGGTTTATTTTTTATTGTTGGTTGATTTTTGCATACGATCGCGCGAATGGTAAATTGTCGCGAGACTGTACAGCTGTATCAGATTGTGTTTCCAGACCGAAGTTTATATGGACCTTGCTTTGGTACTATCAGTGCGAGTGTTATTCGAACGCGTCTGAAGCCAATATTTTTCAACGGCGTTACTATAGTTGTAGCTGCGATTATTATTATTATGATTTTCTTTTATAATCTCAAGCATTTGTTAAGCGGAATGTTGCTATAAAGGGGATTAGACATCAGAACTAACCATGAGTTTTTTCAATCATTTTTATCCGCCTTGGTTTTTCTGGATGTGATGGATTAATTGTTCCAAGAAATTATATTAATTTTTTTGTTATGGCTTTCACCAGTCTATAGGGAGTAGTTCTAATTCCAGATATGATGGGTCGATGTGGAATGCCTGCTTTGGGTAGACCATAAAGTCTGGGTATTCGATCAATTTAGTTAAATTAATTTTATTAATTTTCTCATAGTTTTTAGATTTAACATCGCTACCTCTTCAGTGTTTCCCACTGCGTTCTTTATTATAACCAACGTTTATGTTTATATTCTTCTCCCCACTATATATATATATATAATTAAACCTAAAGAGCCAGATAGGTTTAATTAGGTTTGCTCTACTTAGCGTATTGAGCACTTTACTTAGTTATTTTACTTATTCGTATCGGATTTCTTTCTTTGGTCTCTGAACTTGAATGTTAGACGATTGTCTTCGGCTGACGTATATGTTCTTTGTTCTTTCTTTTTTTGTACCTTTTTTTTCCATTGGGTATTGTTCTGTTTATTTACATATCAAAGTGCCCAAGGTTTTCCGGACGAGTATAATTTCTTATATTTATTTCTTATATTTATAAGATTAGTATATATATATATATATATATATATATATATATATATATATATATATATATATATATATATATATATATATATATTTGTTCTGATATATAAAATACATATATGTATCATATTCCCCTACAGGTTTCAAAATAAGTCGTGTATCAACAGAACCCAAGCACATTATTAATAAACTGCATATCCTCATTGGGCATTAACGCAGGTCCTTACTGTCGTATGCATATGATCGTACAAAGGGCAAATACTATCTGACCATGCATTTTCTCATGCCTCTAGAGTAACTCAGCCAACGCTTTCTTTCCTTCAGAACATCAGTGTCTGAACTTCTTTTTTGTTTTTACCAGAGCTCATATTACAATTTTTTGTTATTGTTTTTCTCTCGTTCTCTGTATTACTGGTTCCCATTTTGTATTCATGTCTATGCTTGGTCGGCTTAGGAGATTTTTGTAGCCTAGCATATGTGCAGTATATATATATATATATATATATATATATATATATATATATATAGATAGATAGATAGATAGATAGATAGATAGATAGATAGATATACAAATGTAATGAGAACGAAAAGAATATAAATTGAATAGCATTAATTTAAAAGAGGGCTCAATACCAAAAGTAGGGCAATAGTTATTTATTATAAATTGTTACATATAAACAAACAAATAAACACTACAAAGATGCATATTTGATTCGATGCTTAAACCTAAACATTTCATCAGGTGGTGAACAATGATGAACCATGTATGTAACAATTTATATATATATATATATCCCATTTCATTCTCCGATCACGATGGAAATTATTTGGATATTTTCTGTGATGAGACGTATAATTCCGTTTTCATAAGGCTCTGCTGTTTTATTTCCATCATTATCCGTAAAAGACTTGAAGAGTTTGAATAACCTGAAGCAATTTCGTGAGTTAACAGAGAACAAGAAGGTTTGGAGGTTTGAGGAGTTCTAAGAAGATTTATTTATAAAGATGAGAAACTTACTGAATATGAGGAATCACACTGATTAGCTGTGTGCTCTAAAGTCGAAAGATCTCTGATGATGATGGTATTTCAATTTTAAATTTGTTCTATCTTAAAGACGTTATCAATCTGAAATTGCTTGATTATATGTATTTGATAATTTTACCGTTATAAAAAAGAATTAAAGTAAATAGGTAAACTAAATGTTTCTTACTCTTTATGTTTTATTGAATTTGACACGCATTTATTTTGTTGCATTATTCAAAATTACACTTTATATTATTGTGCAAACTTACTATATATCTAACAGAAAGAACTGAAAAATTCTCTGTCCTCAAACGTTCTCTCTCTCTTTCTCTCTCTCTCTATATATATATATATATATATATATATATATTATTTACATGTATATATATATATTTTTTGAGGACAGAGAATTTTCATATATGCATATATATATACATATATATATATGTACATATATATATATATATATATATATATATATATATATATATGTACTTATATATATCTACATTTTGTACATACATATATCTACATTATTATATATATATATATATAATAATGTGCATATATGTATATATATATATTATTATATATATATATATATATATATATATATATATATATATATATATATATATATATATATATATATATAATAAAATAATAAATCTGTGGGTATATAATCCAAGTGGATCCTAGTAATATAAAATATTAAAACTGATACAAGAAGAACTCAGTGTATTTATTA